ATTCAGTAAGAAAAGATTAAAAAGGAGAGGCTTTTATGCTGAGTCAAATTAGGTAATTTCTTTTTTTTTTTCCTCTTGAAAAATTAAAAAAAAAAAGGAAAAGAAATTAAAGTCCAACTTGCTGATTTCTTGTTTCTCTGCTGTCTGTGTGAGAAAGTCCTGTTTGGCCTTGCTGTCCCCTTCCACCCCTCCGAACACCTCCCGACCCCAAACCCCACCAGCCACTCAGCACACCACGAGTCCTCGACTCCTCGGAGTCCCTTTGCCTCCCACAGCTCCAGGCCCGCACCTTCCCTCACCGCCCCTTGGACTCCCCGTACGTGTTGCGCAGCATGGAGACCATCTTCTCCTCGCACGTTACTTTGGTGTCCTTTAGGATGCTGTACCAGACCATGCCGGGCGGCCGGACTTCTTCGCTGCGGCAGAACAAGTAGGGCATGGTCTCGGTGCGGCTCTGGATGTAGGCACTGCGTAGCAGGGTCGAGCAGTGGCTGCTGACCTTCTCCAGTCTCCGCAGGATCAGGTGCGCCTTCCTGGAGGGACAAACGGAGAGGAAGACAGAGCAGGGCAGGCAATGCCAAGAGGACACCAGGAGCCAGGACTTCTGCGTTCCACCGCCAGCTCTGTCTCATGACAAGAACGGGCGAGAGCCATTGCCTAAGACATTGTCTTTCATTTTTCAAGTGGAGAGAAGCTCTGTTTTGCCCAAAAGTTCTGGGTATATCTACTATTTCACAGCTCCAGGTTAACAGGGCGGAGGGACCTCAGGTCTGACCCACTAGAGCAGTCCGGGTGCTCTGTGGACACTGTTTGCCCTTGGCTAGATGGTCCCCACCACCAGCGCATGTGCTGGCCCCCTTGGACTCTGGTGAGACCCCCAGCACCTTCCCGCTCCCGACCGGTGAGCCCAGCCCTCCCTTTCCTGTTCTCCCCAGTCTCCAGGAGGCAAATGGCCCAAAAGGACTGACACTAGACGAGCGAGGAATAAAAGCACAACACATTAAGACAAAACAAAATAAACCCGTAAGAAACCAAGAAACCCCTCGTGGGAGTCTGCAAAGTGCTAAATCAAACAAAGGGAGGGGAAGAGGGTTTACTTCAATGGTCTGAAAGTCTCAAGATCACAGATTATTTCCTCTCCCTCTGGTGCCACAGGAAAGCTCTGGATTCGGGGCTAGGGGATTTCGCAGTTCCTGCAGGAATGTAAATTCCCGATAATGAGATGTCAGGGCAGCGCTGTCAGTCAGCGAGGCATAAACATGGGGATTATTTGATTATGAAAGCTGAGAGGTGTTGC